GGAGGGAGGAGGGGAGGAAAAAGGGAAGAAGGGGAAGAAACGAGGAAAGAAGAGCAGTCCAATTTCAATTCATAAGGATGTCTAGTTAGATACACAATTTTTAAATTTAGTGATTGTGAATTCATGGAGAAATTGGTTGAGGTTCAAATGTAGCCATTATTCTTAAATTTTATAGCTCAAGAAGGAAGTTCTAGCACAGTGATATTGAATTTTATCATCTTTCCTTCCTGCTTTCATCTGTTGCCTCCCTGCTTGGAGGTTAATAGAGAAGACAGCTTTCTATGGATTTGAAGGATGTGATTGTATCACACACAGTAAAATAAAAGAGAACCAGAAAGATCAGTCAGCAACAGAGTCAGACAATAGTCAACTGGCTACATTATGCTGGATTTTCAGTTCACATATGCTGAACCAAGCAATGACCTAATCAGTGCTGGGAGTGATGGGCTTTTTTCTGTGAGTGAGGAAGGTAAATTGATGCAAATAATGAGTAGTTATAAAATAAAGTGAAACACATATTGACACCATTAGCCATGCATACTTGGTCTAAATTAATACAGTAATGTTATATGTACAGAAGACATTTTCTTATAAAATGTACCAAGATGCAAGAGGAATATGTTTTCTGTCAACTTACTGCCAGTAAATGACAAAATACAAGTTACTTTGAGCTTTGCTTAACCATGAATGTATGGTTTCATCATTTACAGCCTACATCCATGCATGGTCAAATCACTTATAAATATACAAACACACACATCTTATTTGGTGACAATAGCTAATAAAATTTAATACTGCCACAACACCTTTCATGTAATTGATCAGCACAGGAGGGACATCAGTATAATCTGAAACCAGGCCGAGGTGTATACAAATTTCCCTTAATCAGAAGCATGGGGATAGAACAGAACTGTAACACCAGCAAAAAAGAGCTCTTACCTTACCTTGGCTACTGCACAGAGAGAGAGAACCAGTGGGGGAATAGCTGCACATAGAAAGATCCTCCTGAATGGAGCCAATGCATGGCGGACTACCCTCTCCCGTACTCGGAGCTTCGCAGGCACAGCCAGTGTCCAACTCCACAACTGTGGTCCATAGTCTATTTTATAATTTTAATATCCTTTTAGGAAGCCATCACCCACATTTTCTCCCTATGAGCTGTCCATTATTATTTTTTTGCATTTATTTATTTATGTGTGTTTGGGGCAGTGCCTGTGCTATGGTACCCTCGTGAATGCCAGAGGACAACTTATGGGACTAGGTTCTCTCCTCTATTATGTGGGTTCTGGGATCCAACTCAGGTCATCAAGCATAACAGCAAGTGCCTTTACTTGCTGAGTCATCTTACTGGCCTGCAATTATTTTTAATGGTTCTTTAGTAAAAATTTGCTTGAGTTTTGGTTATCTTGCTCACAGTCATTTTGCTTGTGAGCTCAACTACAAACTGCACTGTACAAATTTGAAGACTTGGATTTTCAAATGAAAATACAATGTTACATAAGAGACAGATATATAATATTTCATTGTCTATACAAGGTCTTTCCTAGGAAAGGGCATTAGAATCTCCAAGTATGGAACCATATCATTAAATCATTCACTGACACTTCTAATTCACACATACTAGGCACTGTACTTGGTGCTGACACTAAAATAATTAATAATGATGAATCTTGGTTCCTGTTCGCTAATGACCAGGCACTCTACAGTGGGAAGAGACCATACAAAACAATTCGGAGTAGCTGGTTTCCCTTACTATGAAATTACCTCCCAGCTGCTAGTGAATTTGGCCAAACTGAATCGTCTTCCAGCCATGGATACCAGGAGACCTGTCTCTGTTGTTGCATTTAGGACTTCTTTGGGTGGTTTATCCCACTGGCTTCCAGATTCTGTTCTTTAGGACCCCAATGCTCTAGAGGAACCTCCCAGTGAGGGAGGGGTTAGGTGGGTCACTGACAGATGGGACACCATTTCAGGAAGAACATTCTACTTTCTTATGTCTTAAGATTTTTTTGTTTTTGTTTTTTGATACAGGATCTCCCTGTAGCCCCAGCTGACCTGAAACTCACTATGTAAACTAGGCTGGACTCAAAGAACACCTCCTGCCTCTGCCTCGCAGGTGCTGGGATCAAAGGCATGTGCAACCAAAAATCTTAAGATTTTTACATAGATTTATTTTGGGGAGTAGAGTGAGGACCTCACTCAGCTAAAAGTAAAAAGATTGGTCCATATACTTCATTAGACTGGTTACCTGAGTGGCAGCCCATTCAGTAACCCAAACTTAACACCCTCACAAGTGAGATGCTATTGCAGATTGCTATGCTACCAGCCTTACCAGGTCATCTTTGCTCCATCTTTAGAACAGAGCCCTTAGGGATATCTGATGTAAAACTCAAAGTAATCATAAAGGAAATCAATAAAAGCTTCTATTGGCAACTTTTCTATCGGGATACTGATGAACTTCAGACTGAGTCTTTCTTTTCTTTCTAGGGACCTCAGATGATCTTCATTGCAGCTAAAGATCTCGGGCAATTATCCAAACTGAAGGTAATGAGTTCAAGGGAACCAGTAGGCAGCGGAGAGCTACTGAGCTGGTCACAGCTCTGCAGGAGCTTCACCTACTGCTCATGGGTCAGCAGCTAGCCCAGGCTCAGAACTCACTGGCTTGTGATCTCACAGTGTGCTTGACAAAATTCAAACCTTGGGAGCAAATTAGAAAGCATGTTTTCTGCCATATGTTAAACTTGTTTGGTTTGAACAAAGGCAAAAATGGAACATTGTGCTGTAGAGTCCAGTGACGCCTAGGAAAATCACGAAGTCAAACTTGATAAAGGAAAATGAAACACATCAAAGAATACCTTGAACTCGTAGATCTCTTCATCTATTAAAAGTGGAAAATTGTTTACAAAATAATCTTGCCCTTAATTATCATTCAGGATTCCCAAAACTTTGAGTGCCTCCAAGATAGGAACTTAGCTGGATAGAATGCACATGGTTTCTATTCTGTTTCTATCCTCTAGAACAGAGTTCAAGGGACAAGCTCCAGAGACAGGAGACTTTGGTTCAGATTATTTTCAAACTATGATGCAGGAGCTAAAACACTTAGCTTTCCAATCTTTAATGTAATATTTGTAAAACACAGAAAACTTCAACACTTCAATAGGATTCAATAGGATTGCCCTGAGCACTGTGCCACCTCCCGTGTATAGAGGACACTTCATTTATTTACCTCCAGCTGGTGGCTCCTAGACGAATAACAGTGGTATTGTTTTATACCTACAGCACAGAGGAAGGGTAATCAGCTTGTATGATTATTTACTGGGATAAAACACGTGCCTTGTAACTTCAGCCTTCTAATTTTATCATCTATATTATGTCTTTCTTCAAAAATAAAGCCTTAAAACAATCCATTTAAAAGATACAACCATCACCTAAAATCGCTTCTCACAGGTGTTCAGTGTTGTGGATGGTTAAGAAGAAAGATTGAAAGTATATTTTCAGTACTAAACTGTTCTTTGGGATTTTGGCTCTCTATCACTTTATCATTTTTATTACCACACTGGGCTTTCTAGACCCTACCTTGAAAAATGGATTAATACAGTGCTGAAGTTTCTTATATAAGACCATGATGGTGAAACAACATAAATCTCATTACAAAAGAAATTCTCCCAACCGTGTGTGTGCCTTCTGCGTATTATGAACATACTCTGTCACCCAAACTTCAGTTTTCCAAGTTGAATGTTGTATTGACTTGTTTGTTTCAAGTGATAAAACGTCCAGTTACCATAAGAAAAGAGTGAAGTTTTGTTACATGAGATTTTATAGACTGGACTGATCTGGTTCCTATGAGTGTTTGGTAAGGGATTTTAGCTATGTCCCAAAGACCCTGTAGCTCACCATCTCTCAGAACTGATGTATTGCCCAGCAAACCTTCCTTCTGGTTGCTAGATGGTTGCCTCGCTCTTACATCCTTTGAACTTCAGATCTTGTAAAACAACAAAACAAAAACAATATTATCAAAAGAACATCGACCTATCTCCATAATTGACCTATCTCTACCTATCATCGACCTATCTCGATAATGTCTACCAATACACAGGTTCATCATTGGCTCTGACAGTATTTTCACTATTTCTAAGCTAATCGTTGCAGACTGAGAACTGTCATGGGCCAGTTGGCTGAACACACATAACCAGGCCTGAGCTGAGGTACAGTGAACCTTGTCCAAATCTTACCAACTCTGAATGAGATGCATACTGGATTCCCAGAAAGCAGGCATGCCTTCTGCGTGGGAAGAAACAGAGTGCACAGTAAAGACTTTAGTGCTCCTCAGAGGCCCCTAGTCTTTTACATTCAGGTGAATGCTATTAATTACCAGCAGAACACTTGAGTGAAATGTTCTGAAAGGGTTATTCCATCAGCACTGAGGTAATAAGGAAGATTGAGAACACAGTCTTGCTATCCAGAGCACAGACAGAAGAACTTGGTCCTGAATCACCCTGTTTAGTTACTAGGCCTTTCTAGAAATCCTCTAAAATCTTGCTCAAAATAATGAAACTGTGACACACAAAGCTTCCAATTTCAACAAAGCTGTGCTGCTTCCTCAACAGAGACTTTTAAATCCATTTATATTTGTGATAATATATAAAAACAGATTGAACAGGAAAGACGCTATTAGAAATAATCGTACTGATGGGTAATTTCAGAACTTACATATATGGAGAGGTAGATGCTAGACGGATGTAGACAGATAACTATGTCATTTAAAAGAACCCAAAACCAAAGAAAAGAAAACAGAGAACGACTTACTTTTCTACATTTACTCCATCTCTGTGCTAGCGCCCCTCATTTTTCAGTATTTCTTGATTTTAGTCCTTTCAATTCAATATGATTTAAAATTAAGCTGTTAAGTATTCATGGAACAGTTTGACATGCACTGGATCACTTCATATTATGTGAGGTTGGAATTGTTATAGAATAGGACCAGATTTATTTGATGTAAAAATAAAATTAAATGCTCATCAGTCTTTCTAAATTGTTCACACAGTATTAAAAATACTTGGAATACATCCGAGATTGTGAATTAACCACAAGCCTTTATTGGGTGATAGGAAGCAACTGCTGGCAACAATTACAGTTTTATATACAAACATACATTATTTATTGGTATTTTTAAATCAGTAAAAACATACATTAATAAGTGCATTGTTAAATGGAATACCATAACCCTGGAAGATTGTAGCATTGTATGGCACCGGGGATGTCTACCTTTTTCTCTTAGAAAAATTTCTGCATATTATTTTCTCTAACTTTCTATCATTATTTCCTTAAATAATCTTTGGATAATGGGCTGAAGCATTACTACGGGGAACAATTAGGAAAATCTATTGTAAAATTGACGAGATCAGTTCTAAGTATTGAAATGACTATAAAGGAGAAAATCTCCAAAGAAAAATTCAGTTCCTTCTTGGGACTCTTCCAAGTAAAGAGCAAGCACTAAGGGGTCGGAGAAGGGGTCAGCTGGGGGTGTTCCACTGAGAATAGAGGGCATCCGCGTAACTCAGAGAAGCCGATATTTACCACTTACATCTTACTGCCGTCAGGCATTTATTCCTCAGTGGGACAGACGCCAAGCAAGAGATTAGGTGAAAAACATTTGAGACATAGTTTTTGGGTTTCTTTGCCTTCTTTATGACATAATTCGCAATGAAAATAAAGTCACATCTCTGCCAGAGTTTGCTTTCCGTTGACAAAATGGATATTTATCAAATACATGACAAAATGAGTCTTTTAACTGTGTTAACATGAAGATATTCTAATAATTAGGAAATGTTTGCATTGTGCAGATTTTGTTTGAAAGTAGTTAAATGAATGTACCTGTCATTTTCTGAGCAGGTATTGACCTGTCTTCTAGGAACACATGATTCGAGAAGAGGCCAAAGGTCTGACACCAAGACAATGTGCAATTATGGAGATGGTGTTGGCCACCATCAAGGTAAGCTACGGTGTCCCTGGATGTGCATCAGAGGCCCCTCTCCAGAGTAAGGACCCCCTAGTGCACCTCTGTACAGCTGTGCCAGCCTGGAGTCAGAAGACAGCCATCTGCCCTCCGTGTCTGTGTCTGTGCTGGACCCAGACCTTTCTCCAGTCCTTTCATCCCTTAGTTCATCCACATCACACTTTTGTACTTTTTTACTCTGTCTCTCTCTAGAAAACATGAATGAAACTTCCACTGTAACATATTTTCAGAGAACGACATACACCCTCACACCCAGTCACACAGGTGGTTCAGGAGGGGTTTAGGTCAGTATAATATGAATGTATGCTTTTTATGCTTGTGGAAATGATTTTTAAAATACCAGACTTTCTACTATGTCTTAGTGATACAATAATTTTATTTTATTTTCTTCTGAAAACACAAAAGTCTTATACTGTGTGCATTAATTTTTCATAGACATAGGTTGACCAGAATATCATAATATCGTAGCATGGGTTAAATGTATACGTCCCAAGATGTAACTTAAATAGAGCTTTCTTTCCAAATTATTCGTGTGTGTGTGTGTGTGTGTGTGTGTGTGTGTGTGTTAGTAAAGGGCTAGGAAAGTGAATTTACTTCCTAAATCTAAGCTATGTCCATTGTTTCCACTCCTCACTGGATGGAACATCTATTATCTGGCATATTCAGCAGAGCAAAGAGCTTTGGCTACAGAGGATGCTTACAGACCACAGAATTCCCACTGCACAGATCCCTACACCACAACGGTATCTACTAAAACAGATTTCTAAGGGAATAATAACTGCACACCCTCATAGAACCACAAGGGTTTTGCTTTGCAAGTTCATCACTTAATGCAAAACCATCTTTTGCTGCTTCTGGGTTGAAAATTGCAAGATAAAAGTTATAAAATAAGAGTTTTGTTCCAGGATGGAGAGGTGGCTCGTTGGTTAAGAGCACTGGATGCTCTTGTAGAGGACCCAGGTACAGTTCCCAACACCCACATGGCAGCCAACAATTGTCCATAACTCCAGTTCCAGGGGATTGGATGCCCTCTTCTGACCTCCACGGGCATTGTGTGACATGGCAATCTCATACACATAAAATAAAAATAAATAAATAAAATATTGTTTTTAAAAGGAGCTTTGTGGTACTGAGTCCAGGCAGTAGGATCACAGAAATAGAATTTCAGATGGAAGCAAGAATCTCTCTAGAAATATGGTCATGCTGCATTGTTATCCAGGACTAGAGACTGAACCCAGTATCTTGCACATGATAGGTGGGTGCTCTACCACTGCAGTTCCTCTTCAGTCCTTGTTGTTGTTGTTGAGACAAGCTCACACTGTGTAGCTCAGTCTAGCCTCACCACTGTCCTGAGTGCTACAGTTATGAGTGTGCCCTACCACACCTACTATTACAAAATATGTTTGAGAGAAAAAAATGGACAACCTAAAAATGTAAGAAAAATTCAAAACTAATTCTTTCTGAATTTTTTCAAAAACCTTTGTAGACCTAGAGTTTCTCTTGGCTATATACAGGAAATGCTAACAGAAACACATGAGAAATCATTCTGAAAAGAAAAATATTTTTTGGAATATGAATTCACCCACTTACAGATTTTACTGGAAGAATTCATGACTTTAGGAGATAAATAAAATGTGTTCTGTGGAAATAAGGAGGGCTGTTCAGTTGATCAGTCAACCTGTCACCTGTTCCAATCCCAGCACTTTCTAATTATTCTTGATGGAGCTGCATGACTCTGAACTACAGATTGAATTCTCTCCTAACTCTAAGACAAGCTCAGTCCCCATGTGAATCCCTTTGAGCCACAGCTTATGCCTCAAATACTCTGTCATCTGTGATCTGTGCAAACCTTTTAACCCAGTCTCAGCCACATGGCCAGTGCTTGTGCTCTGAGGGCAAAGCCACCTGCTGTTGATTCCCAGTATCTTATTGTCTCACTCCCCAGAGCTAGAGTCTGACTCTGGTCCCCTTGTCATCCCCATTTTCTGTGATGCCAAATCTTTCTGCGGGGATCACTATCTTAGGACCTCTGTGCCTTGTAGGAGATTCTCTTGGCCCAGTGGTTTGCCTATCTGCCTAAGTTTTTGCCTGAATTCTGTCATTACCTTGCCCAAGTTGTAACCACAAGGACTGAAAAAGACTCCGTGTCTGTCTAGAGCTCAGCCAGAGAGCTCTATAACACACTGGGGATGTTGGGAGAAAACCTAAGCAAAGTTCTGGCCTAACTCCCAGAGGCTGCCATGGGGATGACCCTTCATTCTTCCTTAGCTTAATTAAATCCAGTAAACCAGGGATGGGAAAGAAGTAATGAACAAAGGTGCTATAGAGTTCATAGAAAACAGACCAAACTGGTGCAGCACGGATAGCATTTCTTCAGAGATACAGCTGCCTTCTTAATAAGAATAGCATATTTCAATTACTTCTATTTTAAATTATTTTAAAATAGCCTAGCTTCTATACAAGTATTGATAAAATATTAATACCTTAAGTACTTACGCACTAATGGAGCTATAATTATTTTTTCATACCAGTCACCTGCTGTCTCAGCATAAGTCAGGAGCAGAGAATGTGGCAGAGGTGGCATAAATTATAACAAACAACTATAGATTGGGTGGCTAGGTTTTGACATACCTCCTCAGCAAAGCAGCCAAATTGACTAGATTTGGAAGGAAAAGTAGTAAGCAACAGGTACCAGACATATAACCAACAATCTTCATATGCACATGCAAATGGAAAGAAGATAGAGAAGCCCTAGTCTGAAAGACACAAATTTGGTTTTTGATTCCCAAACCCTTATCTCATGAAGATTCAGAATGACACAGAAATGTGGGCACGCAATGAGAAAGAGATCACTTCCCAAAAGCAATTATTTATTTGAACATGAGTTTAAAGATCAAAGAAAATTCTCAAATCTTACAAACTCCAAATTATTTATTAATTATCGTATGCCGTTTAAAATACACAGGAGAATGCTGACTGCTTTGACCTTTGGCACCCTTCTAAATTCCCTCAAATCAATATATGAACCTGAACCTAATAGCGTATGAGGTAAAATTTGACATCATTTAGTGGTAACATGGAGGTTTCCCTAAAAATAATAAACATGTGAGACAGAGCTTTCTAGAAATTTGCATTCTAACTGGCCATGGTGGCACACACCAACGTCTTTTGTCATTATCCAGCTTTTAGACTTTCAGTAGTTTTTGCATTATTTAGAATTCAGCTGCTTATGTGGAAAACAAAGTAACCTCCTAGTCTGTAGCATCACAATTCAAAATTATTACTTGAGAGCTCACTATACATAAGAAAGATGGTGAATAATGAAGAAATTAAATGGAGATCAGGGGTTTTGTCTTAGGAACAAAAATATCAGCCATCAAAGAAGTATTTGTTCAAAGTCCAGGGTACTATAAATAGGTTAATGAATTCTCTCTGGTTGTCTAAGATAAAGTATCCCCAGAGAGTGATGCTGGAAGATTTTGAAAAGAGATAGAAAACCATGAGAGAATGCTTTTCTTAGATCTGAGAGGAAAGCCTGATTGAGAGGGGAGTACTGTCAGCTCGAAAACTTCAGCCAGCCTAGGTGAAGGAACCAACCAGGGCTGGCCAAGCCACAAAGCAAGAAAGAGGGGTGCTGCATTGAGGCCACAATGCCCAGGCTTAAACACCAAGGCAAAGAATCTCAACTTCAGTTTCTCAGGAAAAGGGAAACATTAAAATATGTGTGTGATCATCAATTCTGATATGACCAAATGCATACAAGTGGATTCTAGCTGCATAGAAAATATTTTGAGAATACCTATCAAATAGAGTCTTTAAAATGATTCCTATCTAAGCTTGCAAAGGGTTTTAGATACCTGGCTGTTGCTGTGATAAAACACTGAGAGAAAACAACTTGAGGAGGAATGCGTTTATAGAAGGAATCCAGAGCAGGAGCTCAAAGCAGGAACTTGGAGGCAGGAATGGAAGCTCAGACCAAGGATTAATGCTGCTTACTGGCCTGCTTCCAGGCTCATGCTAAGATATCCTACTTATGTAGCTCAGACCTACCTGCTCAGGGATGACACTGCCCACATTGGGCTGGGCCCTCCTACATCAATTAGCAATCAAGAAAGTGCCCACAGACAGGGCCATAGACCACACTGATGGAGAAAATTCCTCAATTGAGGTTCCCTCTTCCCAGGTGATTCTAGTTTGTGTCAAATTGACAATTCTAAGCAGCACACAAAGTGAATTGTCTGTGTGGATTAAACAAAAGTATGCTACTAATGTTTGAAGTAAAAGTATCATGATGGGGAATTCCAACCAACCAAAATAATATATATCATCAGGCTTGTGAAATAAAACATTAGCATTCTCCCATAAACCAGTAAAATTAGACTGTGAATGATCTACAATGTATGACAAATATGAAGAGTTGGAAAAATTCACAGTATTTTACTGGGATTATAAAAAGAATGGCTTGCTAAACACTGAGACAATATTTATCCTGATTTTTTTTATTTAGCAGTACTATTTTTGTCCCACGAATCATAGCCAGGTCTGAAGTGCTTTATTTTCTGCAGTTTCATGAAAAATACAAGAAACAGGGAGAAAAACCTGCAGTCATTCTTCAAAATAAAGCAAATGGTACTTCATACACCGCTGTTCCAAACCCCTTGTCAGATAGACTAGATACTTCTACCCTGACATAGGGTTTTAAGGAGCCTAGGATGGGAGTCTTTACAAATGTTGAAGGATAAACGTACATATACATATACATACAGATAAAATACCAGTAACTGTGTAGGAAGTTAAATCACTGACAAGTAGCATGTCAAGTTAGTGGATGATTGAGAGATTAAAAAAAAAAAAGATTCACACATGCAGGCTACTCCCCTGTGGTGATAACTCACAGCTATATGAAGAGTTATTAGACAAGAAAAGTTCTCATGTATGAAATAGAACAATTCCTGTCTTCAAAATGTTAGCTTTCA